TGTCGAGACAGTACAGATTGCTATTATTCGTTCTTGGACCCACGCACAATTAGCTAATCGCCGAATGATAGGGCGATAGTTTTCTCCCACTTTTTTCCCCTGTTTTTCTTTTTGCTGCCGCAATCCCTTACTTAATTTCCTACTTCTAGAGGCTGAAAAAAGGTGAGCCACTTTTGCTGTTACTAGGGTGAACGCAGTGAAACACACTACTTAGCTCGTCCGGACGCCCCACCCTTCTTCATTTTTCTGGTTACATTCTCGTGCAGCCCCCTTTTTAACGGTTTTTCGAAGCCTTTTTTCACTTTGGAAACACCAATGCAGGCAGTTTCTTCACCTCAGTCGCACTATTTTCGATCTTGTCTTCCATTTTTCACCATAATCTGGATTATCCATAATTATCGTGAACTGTGCCTTTGAAAACTGTGGTCAGAAATGGATCACTTGTTCCGGAAAAAAGAAACGCAATGTAAAGGGAGGAAAGAAGCCCGGCGTAAGTAGGGCTGATCCACTGGTTTAACAGCAAGACTCTTCACGTATAGATTCTTGGTAGTTGATGTGATATTTTGAAGTTTTTGAATTTATATTTTTCTTCAGGAAAACTGTTATCTCGACTTTCAGGAAAGATTTCTGTTGGGTGGCTATTACAAGCACGAGCTCAGGAACGCCACGATTTTGGTACTCAACACAAACTTATATTACAAGTGGGTTTTTTTGCCGTCATATTACAAGGGAATCTTAATGATTGTTGGTCAGCAGTGCAAGGTACATGATTTTCATTCATGCAACCTTATAATGATAGACGTGTTGAGCTTGCCCGCAACTCTGACTGTGAGACCTCGAAACCTCCTGAAGAGTATGGCTCAAGAGTCCTTCCTTCTGAAACGAAGACCTGGAATCTTTTACCAGCCTTTATCACTGTTATCATTTTTGTAGTCCAATCACACTTTACATCACACACTGAAGTAGCAACGCTGGGAAACGAAAAGAATGAGTGATTCAGAGGCAGTTCTTAACTCTTGTTGTTATTAGCCATTGTCACCAACTATCCACGATCCCTTGATTGATGATCAACTTCTCAATGATATTTTCCCCGAATAGGTGCCGCTTAAAGACTCACAAGGTTCGGGTGGGACTCGAAACTGCACTTGTGCTTCTTGGGCACCATGCTTCTTCTCGCTTACAGTAACGACCCCCGTTTACCCTCACTTTTCATCAAGTCAAAACATCAGTCTTTAAAGTGTCAGATTCCTCTTTCCAGTCATCAAATATATACGATCTTACTTCATCACACCCCACATCCCTATAAAATGCCAAAAATCTGCAGTTCACACGAAGGGCGTGAAGAATCCTGGGCCTCTTGCCTTCTAGCTCATTACCACTCATTACTCACTCATTACTCAACTAGCTAACTAACTTTAACTCATAGATCCTAATCAGTGCGTTCCCATCCCGTCCCCTGTGCCTTCATACTTCAGCGCTTTCGGCAAAAGGAAACAATAGTTAGGAATTTCCCATCAAAAACACGAAGCGGCCCATATTGTGGGTTCTCAACACCTTGCTTCAGAACTGGTTCAGAAACTGACTAACTTCATAGTAGTAGGTGTTGACTTTTGTACTGGCAACTTTCCCTACCTATGATTCATCCTCCATCTCATGCGCATAGCTGCGCACATTTGACTCGATGACCCACTCCTGAGCCTTATCCTTGCCGTGGAAGCTCAGTGAACTGTTTCTGAATTTTCTAGCGCAAATAAAGCGTACTTTAACTTCACAAACAAGGACGATCCGGCAAATCAGTTCGCCTTTATGGAAAGCGAACTTAAAGCTGCTCAAGGGTGCCGAAAGCAAGCCTCAATTGGATGTAAACCGACGGTGCACATTGTGGCTCATATAGCTCCAGGAGGTAAGCAGTCTTGCTTGTTTCCAATGTCCATTACCCTCATTCTGAGAAGTTCTATCCCCTGCACCTCTTGTTGAAATGATCGCTAGAAGTTGACCCTCGTTAGTTGCCGCGTAGTTTACAGTAGAATCACACTGGGACCTACTTGTGTATTACTGGTGGTAACTCTGAGGCTATTTAAGAATGGCGTTTTAGTCTTTTATGGATGGTGAAGATTTCAATAGAGAAAAAATAATTCATGTAGAGTCGTATGTTGAGACTTACGTATCAACATAATGACTTTGATTTCTGATTACATGTGTAAAATTCCTGAGCTCAGAACTGTGAAATTTTGGAGTTGTGTGACCACCAAGCCAATTTTTCAGTATTTGAGCGAACTCCGAACTTCACTTGGTTCCGTAATCCATACAACGAGAAGTTCTTGAAGTTAACCGTCGATTATGCAGAAGTTATAGGATACATGCTCTTTGGACACCATCACACAGATACGTTTCATCTGATCAAGGTAGCACTTTCATTTGATCAATCGCGTTTTACTCCCAAAATATTATGGCTAGGACTAAATTTCCCATCACCAGAGTTAGGGGTAGATAGGTCTACAAGAGAAATCTTGGAAGTTGACAGCGTGGCGGCAAGAGAAGTAGCTGTAAACAGCAGTGTCATACTTACCTTACACCCACGAGACCCTTATACGGCATTGTCTAAGTTCCAGATGAACATTCAGCTCTCTTCCATTAGAACGAATGCACAGGTTCTCGAATGTCCTTTGACCTTTTGGCATCCCCTTATATTGAGGTAATAGGTGAACCCTTGACTCATGATATACAGATTTGTCGCGAGTAAACGGAGATCAATGTGAAATTCGGCACTCGAGGGGGTCGCATGTGTACCATGGTGTCCGTCCTGCAGCAACGGCAATCGGTGATGTGAAAGTTGTACCGTGGCATCGGTCCATCGTCCATCGTCTCGCCAACGTTCGCGCTGTCCAACCCAGAAGTCGTCGTTCGAGCGGCCTGTAATCGAACTGTCCATCAAGGAATTCTTCCGACAGCTCGCGTTCCGCTATCGGTTGCGTTCGGATACTTACCGTATACTCACCGTACCCCAAGGAGCCGTCAAATAGCATTATCCAAGGGCCTAATAAGCTTTCAGCTCTCATCCACTGTGAAGACACAATGCTCTCGAATGTTTCTTGACCTTTTGGCTTCCCATCATTTGTATGGGCGTAGCGAGTATAAACCTTCCAAGGGCCCTTCGGCGTAATCAAGCAGCCATGAGATCTTGTCATATTTTTCGATAGTACATTTCGAAGCATAAAACCCCTCGAACAATCTATAGCCCTTCTTTCAAGGACCCATCTGGACACACCGTGCAATTCGCGCTGATGTCACCAGCAGTGACTCCGTGGTTTTCCACTCTGGAAGGTGCAGGAGCCAATAACCCTGCTTTCAGAGTGTACGATGCTGACGAAAATGGTATCATAAATGACATTGTGTGAGTTGAAGTTTTCAAACTGTGATGTTTTCCACTCATTTTACTTGTTCAGGACGTACTATATAAATTTGGACACATTGAACGCTAAAGGAAATCAGGCTCCGTTCATCGAGGAGTATTCCTTCAAAAAGGCCTATAATATAAGTGGAAGTATCAATGTGATGGCCATGAATGATCTAGTTCAACAGTTGAAAACGAACGACGAAGTTTTTCGAACGTATATTAATTTCAATTCGGTGTTATGGAAACCAGATATGCCCCAGGGCCGATTCAGGTATGCTTTGCTTCATCTTGTCTAGGTTTTGATATTTTATATACTAGTATCGTAAGTTCCATACCCAAAGGTAACTCCGAAAAAAGTGCATGCTCATCGATCTGGCTCTATTGTGAAGGCCGGAAGCGGCTGCGGAAGTAAAAGTCACAGCGCATTGCGTGAAATTGGGTCAGTACCGTATGCTCCCAAGCGATAGTGCCTTCGACACCCCCTTTCATATCGATAGAGGGAGAGTTCGTCTCACCAGCTATCAGAAATTTCAGACACGTGGTCTGAAGCCGCTAGATCACAGTGAAGCGATTCTGAAAAAAATTGTTTCGTTGGTGCAATCATTTCTCGTTCACGACTGCCACCATCGGGATTGGTCAGAACGGAACTGATGCACCGACAAATGAACCGCTATCAGTGTTCTGAAGATCTCAAACAGTAGCCGCTACAACCAACTTTCTTGGGAGGGTTCATGGGGAGCAGTCTAATATGAGAATGCGAAACTATAACTACTACCTGGGTTGGCTCCCTCGATGTACAAACCATTCAGACATCTTACTTATTTGAGTAAAAGTCGAATCTGTAGGCACATCCCAAGACGAGATTGTTCAACTGTGAAAAAGCTTATCTTCACGGTTCTACGTGAGATCACTTATGTTTTTAAACTCTATTCGGAAAAGAAAAGAAGGAGAACAACCAGCCATAGAAATCGGCAACATATTTGTACAGGGCAATGTATATTAGTAGAAAACTCGCCTTGGAGGGAAATAATCCGCAGGGAAAATGTAATAGTTAGCCTTTGCATGAAAGCTGTTTGTCTCTGATGTGAGTTTGACACATGGGACTCTAATTTTCAGAGGCGCTCAGTTGTGTTCCATCGAATTTGCCGACTATCCTCGTTATGATGCTTGTATGGCACAATACAATTCAGCGTACTCCTACAGTGCCTGGACCACTGCCGCCTTACTGTTCTCGTTTTATCGTTTCCTATGATTGATAAATTGAGCATATTCTGTTTGTATATGTTTTCATTGTATGTACAGAGATTGGTAGGCCTTCAAAGCAATATGTGATCGAGTCTTCCATATTGCAGAGATCTATTTTTGTGGCCACTTTCTTGCAGCTTTTGCCAATTCCTATTCATATCATTTCGTTGGTAGTAACGATAACATGTTGTAAAGGTGATTAAAGACATAATATCTAGTACTTGTTCATTGTTTGAGTCACGAGTTCAATTCCTGCCAAGGCAAAAACCATGCCGCAACGGCTGCTGATCTGATGAGGCGCAGGAACATTTAAGATTCATACCTTCAAGAGTCATGCTGGAAGGGAGAAAAAGCCAGAGAATTTTGGGAGGGTGTCAAACTCTTATGCAATGGAACGAAAGGATGTGGCCGTAGCAGCAGCGGAGTTCCTCAAGGGCACTGTTCCTGCTGCAGTGATCGAATCCTGCCCATGAGGATAGATTTGAAAGAAGGGTTTTCAACAATAGAATCCGTATACGCACCACAGACAGGCTGCCGCGAGTGCGATGAAGAAACATTCAGCTTTTTAGGTCCAAAAAAAAGCTTACGCCCAAGGCCTTTTCGTCCTGGTTTACATCATTTACTATTGACACATTGCGGAATAGGCTTTACAGGAAAGGAATTTCATCATAGGAAATTTCGTGGTCTATTTAACTTTCACTCTTGAATTCATCACCAGCGGACCACTCAAATAGTATCGCGTCTTCATTTTATTCGCAAAACTGTACTTACCTCTTCCTGCTTTCGGATTTCCACTTGGATATCGTAATCACGCTCTTTTTCCTATATCAGTATTCCCTGGCTTTCCAAACTTATGGACGAATACGAAAGCTCCTGTTAGTATGAGTATTTTACACAAAGGGGTATCTGTATTGTAGACATTTGGGTATGATTATCATAGATGCATAAAATAAAACACACCAAACAAAGGTACGGCAACAAAATATGTCTCTCCAAAGCTGTAAATTTAGGCGAAAGAGAGTTATTTTCATAAGCCTAGTTGCTTGATGGTAAAGTTCTCCGCCTTACAATCAGACTATCTTAATATTTCACAGGTGATTGCCTCACTCTTGTACTGTAGATGACTGTAGATTACTGTAGTATAACTATTGCAATTGAATGCTTGAACAATGTATTAAACCGAAGGCTCACTCTCTAGTGGTGTATTTTCCACAAAATCGGAATGCTGATTCATTACGTTCACCATCGGAGAAAGCTGAATGTAGCCGCATATAAATAGCACTGCCACTAAGGTCTTCTTTCGAGGAGTGCTTATCCTGCCATCCAGAAGAACGCTACCAACTTTGTAGTCTTTACATTCTAGGCTTGACCTTTCTGCAGTACATTATTGTGATATTGGGTAAATGTCCTAAGATTCAGAACCTCTATAAGGTTGGAGTCTTCGATCGACGGTTCGGTGTTCGACTGCAAATGACAACTGTCCCTCCAGAGATTTTATCACTTCATTGTTGTACTGCTTCAGCTGCCTGTTCCATCCGATGTTGCTCTTTTGGAACAGCTGCAAATGTTGCTAATAATAAGAACCCCTCGTCAGATCATAGCATATTAAAAACGACCGGGTCTTATCAAATAGGCCATAGAAAAGTTATGTACGTTGTTGATGCGTTGATCACTCCTCTTTTGGGCTGCGCCTACCCATTTAACCTGGGTGTGCCCGATACTGGGAGTTATTCCGAATGACTTGTAGCGAATTCATTGATTTTACATTGTTGTAAACTTCTGTAGTGGCATATTCTGGACTTTTATTCAATTCTCGATCATTTTCATTAACAACATTATCAAAAACAAGGTCAGCATCACAACTTAACAGAATGACTTATGCACCACTTATCGATGTAATACGAATATCGAAATTTGAAGGAACGATTGGAAACTCCAGAANCTGATGTCCACATCAGCATAGTAACACTCCTTCTCTATGCCCATATTATACTCGTTTCCTGTTCCGTTTTTGTACGTAGACGTCACAACACGGTACCATCCTTTCTCGCCCTAAATTCATCTCTCAAGATTGCTTCCAAAGCACAGAAATCAAAACCGAGACATACCCTGTGACTACACGCTTCTATACATAAAAGACCAGAAAGAATGAAAAGAGACCAACCCATTCCTCTCCCCAGCTGTTCCGCACAATCCAATGCTCAACGCCGTTCTCGTCCACGCCCCATCCGGTAACAGAGACGATGTGGTTTGGCTAAATGGATTGATATAACAGCAATGTTGAGGGCTGTCTTAAATAGTGGTCACCTCAAAGCTTCCAAACCATGCCTCCCCTCAAAAAAGGAGTAGCTGAGCCCCTTCCCTATCGCCAGTATCATGTTTTCTTGGTTCCCACAGTGAATTCAATCACATGAGACCTCTTACCTCTATTTCCTTTTCAGTCCTCTGTGCATAGACGCCTCCAGTGTAGTGGAAATCAAACTCGGGGGTACAAGTGATTGAGCAAGCGATCGGACCACCTTTCTTGATTTCGGCCATCATATTTTCACGACCGGACACCTAGAAGTTATGTTCGTGTGGACTGTGATCGAGCCATCAATGCTTTTTAATATTTCGTTCCTGTGCACAATGATTTTGGGGTATCTAATAACCCCAAGGGTAGGACAAATAATTGGAGTGATAGTTCATAGTGTAAAAGTGGACGTGAAATTAGGCGTTCAGAGAAAAATGTGAGACTTAGATAGTAAAATGTGGGGTTGGACGAGAATGTGACGACAGATGTTGTGTGTAAGGCTAAATTGAACGAACTTTCCAAATGTGTGTGCCATTGCGTACAGCTGCTGGTCACAGTATGATGCCTGTATGCCTCATGCGTCCTCATGCGCATTTGAGTGCGAAAGGTGAAACCTCTACAGGCTCTGGAGCGCCGTGAGAACTCGTCCGCTTTTGGGTGTGTACGTCAGCTAAGCCGGCTTTGGGCCCCTTAGTACGTCTGAATTGGGCCGCTTTCCGACCCGACAGCGCCTTGTGCAGAAACCATTCTTGTTGTTGACGGGATTAATGCCGGGTTTCGAGAGAAATTATTATTTTTACCAATAGCAGCGCCTACAGTAGTTTTGCTGCTTCCTAGCCATTTACGATTTGTTACCATCAGGCAGCTCAGTTTCAAGAGACGGGTCATATTTCTGATTAGGCTCGGCAGAAGCATACTCCAGATAGTGTGTTCCTTCCCATATTCAAATCTGAGTCAACTACCGATACTGAAGGTTGACTTGGGATTCGATTCAGTTAACCGGGGTGAAAGGATGTAAGAATCAGTTCTAGCTTTCGCGTCAGCTTTAATTGGGTTGGGAGAGGGCGCTAATGTTTTTGCTGACATTGCAATATTTGAACTCGAGCGTTTCTCTCAATTTATTGAATTCGCATTATAGAAAAATGAGAATCATTTGACCCATCTTTTTCATCACCTTTCCTAACGATTCGGAGCTCTCAAAATGAGATGAACCGAGCTTGTTGGCTTTTTTTTTTNAGCTATCTGCAGTTCTACGAGTTGAAGAACTAGAAATATGACATCGTAGAAACCTGGACACAATTGCCAGCACTAGTTACTAATCAGTCTAGTAAGCCTGGATCCAGGGATTAGCGATATATGGAATGAAAGTCGATACCGACTTATCCACCCCGCAATGGTAGCCAATTCTGCGCTTTTTCAACTATGAAAAATTCCCATGTGGAGAGATTGCATAAGAATTTATGAGATTATCAATAAAGTAAAAGCTCATCAAAATCACCTTTCCGTATTCCGTGACATAATACCTGGTGTAGTTTTTAACAGCAGTGCAACTGCCAGGCCAACATGTGCCGCATCTGTGGAACGGATCGCATTCTGTAATTGGTACCGAGTAGTTACTGTTCGTCTACATGTTCTTGTAGGAAACTGGCATCGAAATATGGGAGACATAGTCAAATGTGAAGCCGAAGCCAGAAAAAAAATCATGGTGACGAAGAAAGTAAGCTTAATGAAATGTTTACTACTGTTAAGGAAGGGAGGAAACTCGAGGATGCAGTGCATAGAAGAAAATCAGAGGTAGTACGAGATTAGCATGGAAGAAATGACGTGGAAGGGGTATTTGGACGAGATTTCAGTTTTTGCAACTGCGCAAGAACTGACTACTCCAAGCCAAAACTCCCCAGAATTCACTTTCACTGTCGCTGCCGGATCACGACAAGTTGTTTGAATGCCTGGATTCCCTTATGAATGGCGGAGGCTCTACGTTGCCGTTGGAACTCGTTCGCACATAAGCACGAAACAATCTTTGAGCCTTTATGACACCCTATCTCAGCCATTTTCTGACCTGACAGTGTCACATATGGTATAAGGAGCTGCGGATTCAATTTAGCGGTATACCTCATAAGCCATTCTTGTCGTGAATTGTGCCTTTGAAGCGAATTCGGCCTCACCCCCTATTTTTCGTTCCTCCATTATCTTCGTTATCAAATTTCTGTCGCCTCCTACGTTGTAGTGAGTACTGCGAATCACTGAGCGGATGAACTTTCTACATGGCTGAAGTTTTTCGAGAATAATAATATTTCGAGCTTTTCATACTTGAACTGTACAAGCCTAGCACTGCTTATGCAAGGGTCGAAGAAAGTTCACACATAATTGCTTGGTTTTTTTTTATGAGAGCTGTTTTCGCAACAGTCGGGGAACAACTCACGTCCATTGACGGCTCGGTAGACGTTGCAGCCTTCTTCGACGAGGCCATGAGTCTTTGCGTATTCCAACACATTGCCGACTTCACCACCTTGGCAGTTTCCTTTACCGTTGCAATCGATAATTTCCTAAAATCAATTCTCCACATTTTTTTTTGCAATGGTAACATAAGTTTCGATTAAAGCGATAAGGGAAAATGAGCGATTATGGCATCGCTAGCAGTTGATTCCGAACTCTTTCCCCACGATCGCGTTCTAATTAATCACAATTCCTTGATCGTAATCTCGCGGCATCGAACTGCCATGGCCGTACCACTAGCTCTATGGTACGTCTCGTCACTAGGCGATAGAGCAGCTATTTTTAAAGTTACCAACACGTAGCGCGCTCCAACTACCCTATTCCAATCGAAATGAATTTCTTCGGAAGGCGGTACTTCTACCCGAATTCTCACGGCGAGCCGCAATGATTCCGCTGCGACTACCGTATCCTTCCACCGAAAATTAAAGCTCTCGCTTCAAAGCGCGCAACTGCGCCCGATTGGTTGCGGCGAGCGCGACGCAATTTTCGGGGACAATTTACCCTAGCCAGGAACGCGTCAAACTACAATGTATTCTAGCTCTCGAAATACGGCGCATTTCTGAAGTTTACGTCGACTTTTCGTTGTTTGCTTTGCTTGACTTTCCATTAAAAAATTCTTCATCTGGACGGTGCTCAGAGGCCCGTTCACGATAATTCTGAGGAATCTGGCTAAAGTGAAATAGTGAAAGTTAAGGTGCAAAATAGTGAAAAATGGTGAAAAGCGCGGAAATCGGAGGGTTTAAAGAAACATAAGGCTTCAGAAATGTAGCAAGAATAGGGTTCTACGAAATTGTGTCTGTAACCGTCTGGGTGTTTCCGTACTATTCCCCGTTGTCTCAACGCTTCATTGTTAAAGGTGCATCCTCAACAAAGCTGTCATAACACGGCTACATTTCGGGGTGAACATTGGCAAAGCCGGTTTTGGAAATTGGAGTCCTCAAAGCGCCCTGTCGAGGTCGTTTTTCGACCCAAAAATGTCCGACGTGCTATCTTTGAGAAGAGCCTAGAAACCATCTTTACGTGAACTCTGCTTTTGAGTCATTGAGCAGTAGCATACCCTCGTGAGCAAACATATCGTTTACCTGGGGAGACACCATAGTCATTGGCCACCTATTCTTGCGGGCGATGTTGAATCGATCGTTTAGAGCTCCTGAAACGAACATAATATTATTCAACATTAAACATTTTTCTTAAAACCTGTGAAACTAGCCAGTTGTTCCAAACACCCAGCATGAACCACAGTAAACTGGAATATGTTGATTTCTCGTAGGACTGCAGTAGTTAACACCGCTGATATTCCTCCAATCCCATTGTTTCGGAAGTTCATCCTTGAATCCAGAGTTTCCCTCCCAGACTCGAGGTTTTGTTCTGAAAAATAAAAGGGAACATAGCGTTCGGAACTCGACAACGATGACATTAGTGTTTTTCCTGACTTTCTTTGAGAGATTTCATTGCGTAAACAGCTCAAACGTATCAGTACACGGCTGGTATGAAAGCTACTATACCATTTGGTCAAGCTGAGCTTCGAGCAGAAAGAGAACTACACCACGTGAACTCTTTCGAAAAAAATCATAGGAATTGAATCTAACACAGACGGAATAATAGTAACTTTGAGAGAAGATCAGCTGGCGCTGGATTTGACTTCAGGAATGAACTGAAAGGTTCAAGTTCAAAATGAAACTCGGAGTTACAGAAGTTTTCAAAAACTTTTTGGTCTAGGGTTTTATTGATATGTCGAGAGTTCTCAGCGATAAGCTGGCGTCTTACTATATAATCTGAATATTGTTTTTGTCCCCTCTCACCATCGAGGATAAATCAGTGTGAGGTACAGTGAATCACTAAAAGGGCTCATATTCTCACGCGTCCCTACTCTGAAGATAAGTACTATGAGAGAGGAACAGCTGAAAATATAAGCTGCTCCCGGGGATGTTTTCGATATTCGAAACTCAAATGGGTATTTGAAATTGAATATAGCTTGACACACCTTTTTTGAATGCTGATTCAGAATCCGCCTTCTAAATTTGTCGAACGGTTCCTCAAATGGAATTAAGAAGGTAGGATTTAGGTCAGCGCCTCATACTTATAAACTGACACACTGTACTCAGAGGCATAGCCTGGAGCAATGGTGGGCGTAACGTCTCATCATTGTAAAGTCCTAGATCAGGTTTTGTGAGAGAGCGATTTTTGCATCTCGATGGCTTTTTCCTCGAGGAAGAGAAATTCTTTGCAGTTTGATTTTCACCACCTTCAGCAACAATTTGGTGTTTGAATGACTCCGTTCTTATCCAAAGCATCTAATACATAACAGGTGGCTACGCACGCTATCGCGTGCGCAAGGGGCTCTAGCCATGAGAAACGGACCACATGAGCTGATTTTCATTATAGACCTTTATCGGATTTATGAGTTTCCGCTCAAACCCCGCCCCCGTGGGCGGAGTCTGGTTCTGCCACCCACCATAAGTTTATCCACCGTGACGCCTGTACCTCCTACCAAGTTTGAACCTTCTAGGTCCATGGGAACTGAGTTATGGATTTTCGTATTTAAATGTAAGAAGGGACTTGAGCCTCGAGGCACGCTTCGCCCATTGTGGGCGGGCCTCAGCTGACGTCATTTATGCTGGAGACATCTTCGACAATGCTCCTCCCACATCAACTTTTTCCTGCTCTGTTGGCTATCTCCAAGCCGAGTTATAAATGTTTTTATAAAGCAATGCATTTTTGGAGAACGCCCAGCCCTTCGGGAGTGGGTTTCCCTAGTTCGATCTAACTTACGAATGCACACCTCTAGCACACTCACACCCCAGTTTTGAGGTCGTCTTGTGACTGAATTCGAAATCATTATCCTCAGTACATTTTATTTCGATGCACGCCACGCCCACTGTGGGCGGGGCTCCGCTGATGTGTGCATTATCCTTCCAGGGACATGGCCCACCCATCCCACGCTTGACCCGGTCTCTCCAGGCAGATCTGAAGGAGCTAAAGAATTTCGTGACAGACATTCAGACAGACAAACGGACGACAGACGAAGCGCTTTATAGTAAGTAGGATAGCCGCAATTTCCTCATGCTCCCCTTCCTCGCCTGTCGTCCTACCATGGACTGATTAATTTAACTGCAACGCTCCTCAGGAATTAATCTGAGATGGGGTTGGATTACTAGTTTTCCGTATTATACACTTGGGGTGTCGACTTAATCAATGAGCCTAGGTCAGAGCTTCAGATGTCTCGTACCGTTTACCACTAATCACCAATATTATTTATATAAATATGTATAGATGAGCAGCGTGTAATGTCCATTTTTGCAGCTTTTTTTAGGACATCTTGGAAGGGCATCGAAATATACTTAAGGTATTGTTTACAATATTAAATGACAGGAAATAAATAGTCCGAAATGATCCTAACTTGAACTCGTAAACTTTTCCGCTTCTCTTAAGGCCTCCATAACGGTGATGACGATCATTCTGCTCCTGCACCTCATTGTTGTTGACAGTCTCCTGTGATCAGTCAGCTGATAGGGATGCAGCAAGAAAAAGAAAACGTCAAACATGAGAATGGCCTGATAAATAACGATAGGTGAGACAAATCAGTTTCATTTCCACCTTACCGGTTGGTTTTTCAGAGGTAGACCACGTCGAACTGGAGCTATCGGCAGATTAGCACGGGGAGAAATGATCTCCTGAAAAAAGCAATTCCTTTTCTTTTTAACAAACCGTCAGTTATGGTGTTCAGACGCCCTAAACTTAATTGTAGAATTTCTTTAGACTCTGAGAGATTCAGCACCTTCATTTGGGTTTTGAGGAATGTTGCAAGCAGATTAAGCAGTTGCAGGCAAGTACAGGGTGACCCACATGAAATGTGACGCAGAAAACTAGCATCAAAACTATACAAGTCAAACCAAATAGGAAATTATTA